TCTAATAGTGTTTTATTACAACGATATCTAATCCACTTGCGTACTTACCACTGCCAGTCCAATGAGGTACATCAGAGCTGTCGACAAGGGGAGTCTTTCACTAATTATCACTTAATTACAGAAAGGAAGCCAATTTTTTGAAGCCACGGTTTGTTCGTCGAATGCCACTTGTGTAGTTGGTAGTTCAATGATGCTTCACGTCCGTTTTTCGGCGTTGTGTTCCCTCCGATAACAGGTATTTCGTGTTATCCTTCACGAACCTAATGATCACTCGATTACCCCAATAAATCGAGGGCTATGGATTACTACGAGCCTGCCCCTCTTTCACGCACACTCTTTGCTTTCATCGACCGAACCTAACTCCAGCCTACGATCTCACTGATGCTGAACTGAACACGAAAAATTGCCTTATGAACTCCTATCATCACTCACTGCATCGGTTCCACTGTTTCGAAAACTCTGCACCCAACCTTTTCACAATCCGTCCTGAAAGATTTGCTTGTTCATTCGCGCACACGGGACGCTCCCAGCGGCTTCACACACGCGCGCACACAACGCTAAGCAACTAACTTCGACTTACTTGCCTTTACCGTCTTTAACTCTATCGACCTTCTTTCGACGCGTTCCCATTCGCGTCGCTGGGCTGGCCGACTTCGGAGTTCCGACTGGCGAACGTCAATGCGTCCGTCCCTGTTTAGACCAGCTGCTCCAATGTGCTCCGGTCTTTTCTGCTCTATTATGCTTTGCGCGCTCCCCAACCAGCCCATGTACAGCTTGCATAAACGGAGAAGCTTCCTTTTTCACGTTGCTGGTCGCGTTTCAGGACGCTCTTGCGTGTGTGCCCATTCACTTCCACTACTACGTTGGCTCCGTTGCTGCTCCTGATGGCGTCTGATACCGTCACCATTAATGCGCCTGCCTGACTGCGACTAGCTGACTGCTTTTGCTGGCTGTTTGCCAGTTCTACAGGAATAGCGGCAATCATTTGTCGCGTGGACCTGCCGCCAGAGGGCAGCTCGTGCGTTTTTCACCGTGTCTATTGGTCCATCCGTCTGATCTACGACGTAATCCCGTGGCTCCCGCAGTAATCCCACGTGTGCCTCATGTGTGCGCTGTTTTTTAGGGACCAGTCATCGCCATCAGACGCTGCCATAAGCTAGCTAACTAGTTCGCCAGCCAACAGTCAGTAAGAGAAGTTGTTCCGCGCAGTGTGTGCCAACCTGAAGGGGGCCCGTGAGCGCGGTTGCGGCTTGATTTCAGATTGAATCGACACGGCGCAGGGATTCGTGAGGCAGCGGTAATGGCGGTAGCGGCAGCAGCAGCAGCAGCAGCAGCGACAGTAATGTCGGCTATGGCGTCAGGAGCTGTGTCACTAGGTCATCAGTTTTATATGGGTTGTTGTTGTTGTTGCTGCCGCCGCCGTTGGCGCAGCCTTAGCTGGTTGGGAGTTGCATTGGCGTTGGTTGTTGGCGCTTTAGCGCTGGCTCGTCGCCGTCGCCGCAGTCGCTGACGCCGCTCACTTACTGCTTCGTTCACTGTTCAGCGTTTTCTCTGACGCAGCCATTTCGCTGAGCTCTTTCGTTTGATTCGTTACGAATCGTCTCGAACGGCAGTTGCGTAGTGGTTGTTGATGTCGTATGTTCACCGCTGACGTTCGCTGTACTGACGGCTCTAGGTTATAGGCACCGTCTGATACGCGCGGGAAAATAATACACTCATAAACAGCCAGTCGACTTAGCAATCCAAAGTCAGTTGTTCACAGGTAAAAACTGACAGATGGTTGCTAGCAGTCGACGATCAAGCATCCGATCGTAGTCCTTATCACTGTAGACAGACAATCTACTAACAGCAAACTAGTCGCTGTCGGATTCGTCCATCTGTACTTGATTGCTCGGTCCTTAGGGTCCTCTTCTGAGTAGAGTCATGTCGACGTTCCCGCGTAGCGTACCTCATCATTCTAACAAGCAATGGGGGTACGTCTGGCGCTGCCCGTGCACGCTAGCACAGGTATATCTTATACAGTATGTTCTGTTCTTGCTTTCGGGGTCCTGTAGATGGCGACTCAATGACTGAGGTGGTGGAGGTAACCCCTTGACCTACAACAGCAGCAGCAGCAGCAGCAACAACAGCGGCGGCGGCGACGCTCAGTTTACCCAGTCAGTTTAAACTCTGGCCGATTGGCAGAAAGAATCATAAAGAGCCGACACCGGTGCCGAACGACATAAATCGGTAGATATATACAAATACGCATACTCAATAGCATACTCTTTGTACTCTCTACGTACAGAACACATCGTCGCTCCATTAGGCCCTGTTGCTAAAGGTCACCTGTGTTGTTACGGGGCACGCGCGTTCCTGCTCGAGCCATCCACAGTGGCAACACCTTGATCTCCCACTTTTAATGCGACTTCAGTAGAGCTTTCACAGACGAATCAGCTGTGCATTGACTTGAACTGTTCCTCCGGATCTACCCTATGTCAACGTCTTGGACGGCTTAGGCAGATATAGTGGGCTTGCAGTTTCCACGATCGCATAATTGCCGATAAGGACAATTATCGTCCTGATCAAGGCGGGCCTAGACAATGCGCTGGTGCCAGGTCACTGATGTATTTGGCACACATTTTTCACGTAAATATTCTGGAACACATTAACGTTCTCTCTAACAGAAAGAATACAGCCCGGATAACGTTAAGCAGGCGTGCAGGAGATGCAATACAGCATAACAGATTAATTATTTTTTGGTTTTTATAAAAACTGCTGTCAACGCGCGTGTATATCCCTGTCTACGAGAACGGTTATGCGGTAAAATAAAGAACACGTTTCTTTCCCCTCGATCTTCGTTTGCTTTAGTACAAATAAAATAACAGTGTTTTTACATGTGTCTCAGTCATTAACGAAACAGTCGAACGTACGTCATGTTTAACGGCTTGAGTTGTGTGTACAAGTAATATTATTATCTACCGGCATTGTGACCTCCTTTCAGTAACTTTAGATGCGGTACTCTGTATTAGCTTAAAGCATCGATCTCATTTTCTAAAATAAGTGCGTTTGATTGACGTCGTTCGAAATATCTACGGTTGACAGTCACCGCAATTTATCATTAGATCAGTCTTCCTGACTTCGGCGGCAAGCGCTGCTAGAAGAGTGGATGAGTATCTCCAACCAGAAGCCCACCGCAAAAGCTTATCTTCTCGAAACAAAGCTGAACGACATTTGGCGCAGTCACTGATAGATCTAAAATCAACGCCAGTGTCAAACTAATTAATCAACTGCCAAAATATGCTCATAATTTCTAGTGAGCCGCAATGGCCAGTCAATCACGTCGATGTCCATAATCTTGTTCGCAGAGTATCTTACATCGCTATGAAATTATCAGCGTCAACTGATCCGCTTATCCGTAAGAGAGCACCTATCAGAAAACATGCATCACTTGACCCCGCTAGAAACTAATTCACCGATCTTCACCCAAATCATTATTTACGATGCGTAGACTAATGAAGCTTCGCTGCACTTCGCCACGGCCTCAGCAGAAAAACGGGTTGTTGAACGCCGATCGCGTCATATCTGAACAACCTAAAGAATACTATTGGGAAAGACCGATCATATCGGAGAAGCTAGGCTCTAGAATGCACTCTATCTCTGAATTGCTCAGGTCGCAGCACCGAACTAGGTCCCTGATGTGGCCGTACAATTATTGCGCAATAACAAATCGCCATAAATAATACTGCCCTTTTGAGTTGAGAACCGTATTAAATATTCAACAATCAGGCGCTAATCTTTCATATTGTACATACTTGTGGGGCCGAACGTAAACACGCTCGCCTCGTAGTTGCGTTTTCTACACGCATATGGCTTACTTTTGTTCAGGTGCACGGTAATGTGATAGTTATTATGGTGCATACTTGCATAATATGTATATTTGGAAGTAGAAAAACAATAGAAGGCTTTAAAATCGTACACCTCTTCGGTGACAGATTGTCATTGAACGTAAAACCATCGACTTAGGAACAGGCTGGATCTACCCTTGAACGGCGTACCTTATTCAGCTTATCAAAAATCCTTTCAGCAGGTGCTAATAATTTTTTTGCTAAGAACATCACGTTTGGTGGTAGACAGACCCAGTGATTACTTAGATGATTTCATCAGTTAACAGAATCCAAGTTTGCCCTGTCAGGTAATGACAGAAAACGGTTTCATTATTTTCTTGGATACGCATAGCGTGACCGCTTTGACATCATGCTGTGTACGACCCTTTAAATATAGTATGAAGAGAACCGAAGTATGGAAAGGTAACGAAATATACATTGTTTTCATGCAGAAAATGAAAAGACCTGGGATTACTTTAATTTCAATGATCGACGCTACCGAGGCACTGCAGTTCGATTGTAAGCAGTTTCCGTGCTGCTTCATCGATTAGCTAAGTTGTGTTCTGCGAACCCACAACTTAGCCACATAAGTTATTCATTAAGTTACAATACTGTGGCCAGCCCCAATAGTGGATATGCTTAGGGTGGATAAAAATAGAGCCGACGAACGGACATCGTTCTGCAAATGTCCTAGAAGTCCAGGTTCTTTGACTAGTGACTACAAAGGATATTATGAAGAATTCTGTTCTACATTACATCCATTTCAGGAATTCTTAAGGTATAGCGATTTTTTCACTGGTTTTTGCATATAGATGTCCTATATTCTGGAGTATCTTTGAATAGAACGCCCCTGATAGTTTGGCGGATAGCAACAATGGATTTCCCTAATTCGGAAAATAGTTTCCTATTGGTGGTTAGGAAGGATCGAGAAGATTCGATTTTGTTTGCAGTATTGTAGTAGCCGTGATAATTTCTGTTGATACCTTCCTTAGGAGCATATTGGCATGCTATACCAAGTATCTCTGTAAGCGAACCAGCAAAGATTGAGCGAGCGCCGGCTAATGATATAACTATGCCACGGGTCGATTGGTAACGTAAGTATCTTATGTCTTCTAATACTAAATAAATACCAAATTACTAGATAAACAGGGGATCAACACCAAGTCGTAATCGGTATGTACGATATTTATAGTTCTCCTGGCTTTTCATACGGATAGATAAAGAACAATAGACATAGTTTTGTAAAATGGCGCATCTGTTAGTTCTTGTAGAGACATGATCCGTATGAAACCTAAGACAAGTAGGCAAGTTACCTTCTCAAGTCTAATCTTTTTTCATACTTGTGGACGAGCATGGGCGATTGGAATTAGCAGCTGTGCCTAATCCATATCTGCGCTGGCCTAAGTTGTTCCGAAGCGCCATCTCGCGGCTGGTGAGAGCTTTTCAAAAAACGACAAAATCTATCTAAACTCTCGCGGCGGAAAGGGTAGGCCGAAAGGAGCTACCCAGACGGTAGTTTTCTTGGTGACGTTGAAGTTCCAGACACGAACCGGACGTCAGCTTCGTGGACTAAGCTTGTGCGCACATCTGTTAATGTCGCTTGGGTGAGAAATTCAGACGTCCGAATCTAATATCGAAGTTGATCTAGGCATAAAAAAAGCTTGAAACAACTGTGGCAGCTGTGAATTCGGGTGCTAGTAGCTTGAGCCTGTCATTTAGATGGCCTAGTGTTCGTGCATCGGATTAAATGAAGTAGGCTTACAATAAAATATTAATTCGTTTATATAAAATAAGGCTTCTGTAGTATTTAACTTATCTGATCTGAATTAAATTGGTGTTTAATGATGAGCTAAATGCGGGCTCCGACCTCGTATTGGTGCACGCCTTTCGTGGGACTGCATGAGTCAAAATGTGTTTTCTAGCGAGGGTTATGTCGACTGGAGCTTAGGTAACTCGAAATTTCACCTTTTTTGATTCTCGATAGCCGAAATTGCGATTAGTTTTTTTTGCTTATAATAAAGCAATACCTGACTAACTGAGGATGAAGCATTATGATGAAAATCTGAAAGATACGTAGGTAGCATACTGCTATTGATGACACACAGACGTGGATAACTAAATATATGAATATCATTTGTCCTTGTCAATTATGCATACACAGGGCCCGATGTCCAATTGGCTGTTGGTTTTTGTAACTGCCACTCTTCTAACCTAAAATATGTTCCGTATACATGGAATCGACCTTGATTGTACATGTATGAAAAGTCGTTTGTATGATTTTATCTTGCCATATATCTGATTCATATATTTGACGGGGCCAAAATGTATCTTCCGATGAGCCCGTTTATTTACCACCTGCAGTGTGACGTTGTCAGCTAAAGTCCGTCTTAATGCTCCGCGTATGTGCTGTCACGGTTACAGCTGTTGATCTCATCAACAATTGCTGATTGTGATTTGTAGGTTATAAAAGGTACCATTGTTCTTTTGGTTCGGAACACGGTTCGTCTGGTCGATGGACGTCCAGCGATGGCGTGGTCAGCTTCGGCTGGTAGCCGCTTGCGTTGCTGTGGCAGCCTCAGTCTCATATGGCATTCATCTGTGGTTTGACAAGGGACGTCAGGCTGCTCTTAAATATCTGCTCGATATGCATCAACGACTAAGGCGCGAACTAGATGAACTTCGGGGCCAAGTTGACCAAATGGGTACTATTCCTAGTCAGGTAAGTTTGCTATATTTTGGGCTTTCGTAACAGAGTTCAGGTCCTTCGGGAGAAACTTGCAACTACGTATTAATTTAATGCCATTTAGTGTGTGTGAAGTAAACCAGCTTAATTCGATTTGTTGCCACTCTATTTGCTCAGTGCTACCGAAGTGTACTGCATAATATTGCTATCCTAGAAATCTTTTATTTATACTTTACAGGGAGCTTTTGATGGGACGAGCGGTCAGGCATCGCGCAATGTAAATAATACGAGACCTGGCCCAACAAAGATTATTCGCGGGTCGTGTTGCGAGGACGATGGCACGACGCAGGCCGATGGTGTAAAGAGTGATGACGAAGAGTTCTTTGAATTCTCTGAAGTATAAAATGACTTCGCTTCAGGTCGTTGCTCAAGGTTGGTTGAGGGGTGCGGGCGCAAGACGAATGTAGAGCTGGTCGAAAGGATAGATTAAAGCTGTGAATGAAAAAATAGACCGTTGTCCGAAGCTCATGCGAATTGTATACAAGAAGACGTACTCCTACGAGACGAGAGTTCTATATAGTTGCCTAAGCGTATCTTCTAACAACATTCAGTTTTAATGAAGAATAATCAACAGGTTGATGATTTGATATGTTGCAGTGGTTATGAAGTTGAATGTTGAAGTGGTTATATCCTTATAGAATTTAGCTAGCTGGTGAGCATGTTTCTGCGACATGACATCGCACACTATGACCCTTGCCTCAAACGTCGCCTGCTGTACAAGAAAGCTTAGAAACGCTGCAAGAAAACCTTTGTATAAACTTTGTAGTAGCGTTGTAGTATACTAACGGACCGAGTCGAAGTCAATCCTTGTAGCCTAGAAGGATGGTGTATAGACTGCGAGCCGAAGTCTTGGCAGATTGTAGCTTCGTATCTAATTATTAACAACTATAGTGACTATTTTTTTCAATATTATCTTAGGTAGCGATCGCCGCGATCTGCATGAAGTTTTGATCATTACAGAAATAACTATTTTTTAAAAATAAATATGGCTGAATGCACCTCTAGCAGTACTGAATTAAGTAGGCTCATGGCTTAGAAGCTGACAGTAACATTGACTTGGTCAAGCTCTATGGATTAAATTTTTCAATTTAACCAACGAGCAGAAAATTGATGATGGGAGCAAAAACGTATTTTTTACTCATTTTATATATTTTCTTTACATAAATCTCTCGATTACTGCCCGTATATTTACTTGCTACTTAATTGCTCTTACGATTGGCGGTATTTCTGGCTTTCCTCGGTATGTATCTGTACCATGTTTCCTCCTATATGGCATTGAAAAGCACTCTTTCCTCTGGGGGACAGTTGTAATTTTGTTGTGCAATGAGCAAAATCGATATCGGGTTCAGGCTCCAGACAAAGATTTCCTGCGGGAAATTATGTAAATCTTCAACAGCTACTTCTGTATCGCCTATGGCCAGGTCAAAGAGTCGTCGTAATAGGACCCTTCTAAGGGTAAGTTCAAGGATGCAACCCTATACCGGCACCACTGCCCTGTGGGCCATCAGAGGCCGATTAGGACCTTGGCTAGCGAGCAAGTGGTTAACTGGCCGAAGATACAGGCTACAAACACTATAATAACGTAGGCATCTTGAATCTATATAGATAGCTATAGAAATTAAGCAAAAAAACAAGCCGTAATTTTTGGTTCGATACTCTTAATGTATTTAAAACGAAGTCTTGTTTCATTCCCTACGAATAATGTGTTTGTTGTTAATTACTGAATTACCGATGTCAATAAAATTATTATGTCCATCATTATTATAATTGTTAATATTTTTTTTATCATTCTATGTACAACAATTAGAATTATCGAAATAGCTCTGTTCGTTCGGCTAGACTCGTCGCCAACGATTATTAAGTGAGTTTATAACATTTCGAAAAAATTCAAAGTCACTTAACTTGCGTCCAGCCTTTTGTCTTCCGTCTTCGTTTCTTCAGTACGATTCTGGCCGCTCGTTTCTTCTCCGTACTGTGTGTGTGTGTGTTTTTATTACTTCTATTACACAAATGTGAAATTGATAGTAAGAAGTACTTGGACATATAGGTCTATCCGCGCCGCGTTCCGCCGTAAGTTGCGTTTTTACCATTAACTGTTAATTAGTATTGTTATTATTTTTGTTAATGCTTTGACTATTCCATACTTTTATAACGGTTGCAATTGCGTTAAGCTCTGCTTGTTTCGTTCATTCAGCCTCCGCTGAACGAACGAAACAAGACCCTGCGTTACCGAATAAGCGATCCATTTTCGCGCGAAAGTATTCAGCGCGTATATTTGTTTACGAGCGACGTTCGCTTTTAGCTATGCGTTACAGTCGTACGTCCGACGTCGACGATTCGTTCTTACAAACCGCTAGTAGACGATACTTGCAATTTACCCTTTACTCCGCCATGACTTTAGGCACGAAAACGTATCCGGGTCCATAAAATGTCTGCTTATGTTTGTTCACGTCGTCCAGTGGGCCCGAATGATGGCTCAGGTAAAACACGACAGAATCCTCATCGTAGGTCTGTTGTATGCTCGACCCGAAAAAAACTAGGTCCGCTAGCTTTCGCATTCTTGAAGAACTTTACTCCAAGAAATTATAGATTTGTTAATTTGAGTTGAATCTGCATCATGTCAAGGTTAAAGGTATTTGTAGTATTTTTTCGTCTCCTGGAAGAGCATGAATAGTCTTCGAAGAAAATCGCTGATTCTATTTGCCAAAATATAGTTGCGTTTTGCTTTGTTTTTTTAGTCCGAAACGTGTGTTTATAAATCTTCACTTCATCCCACGAAACGGTTCAAATCTAGGAAATATTGTTTAAAAATGAGGTTTGTAATGGCAGTCCCCATGGCAGGTCCACCAAACTGCTTTCCTTCATTCCGCAGAATAACCAAGATATGCTTTTTCTTTAGCTTCACTCGCCTTCTTTGTAGCCTAGTATCTGATATACTACACGTAGTATTCTATAAATATACATATACATCTGCTGGAAGGCTATGTATTTATATGCAGAGCAGATAAAATGGCTATTTTTTCGTTCGGGCGAAAATTATTTTTATTATGAGATTTTTTACTTTTCTAGGAACGCTGTAAATAGTCATAACAATAATAATTGAAGGCAAATTGTAACAAGTAGTAGCGTGTTATTTGTTGTTTCATGTACTATACCTTAGCTCTGATCATCGAAAAAGATCTACTGCCAACAAGGTTCTACCGGCAATTAACACTTAGGACGACACTTAGGCCACAACGGCTGTTTCTAGTTGATCTATGTACTACCGCGTTTGCCATTTGCAGAACCGTCAAGACGCGCAACTTGGCGCTAATGGCCAAACTTCGGCAATTTCGTTTCATAAGTAAATACCAGCTGTCATGAGCAGCCTTTCTGCGATAATTAAATTTAGTACACATGTTGCGACGTTACAACAATAACAAGATAAATGTAATCAAGATATTTTCAAATTGGCAAAAATGACCAGAAAAAAAAAGTTCCAGGCTTATAGATGAAGCTTTTTAGGTGATCTCTGATACCGCCTTGTATGACGAGACTCTAAATATCTCCTGGCCATATATAGATGTTTAGGGGCGTGCAAGGTTGCGTTGGACGATCAATGGCCCTCGAAACTATTACCCTCACCTACCAAAAAGGTAGAAGAAAGCATAGTATATTAAGCGAGAACAAACACATCAATTTGATCTATTTCGAATTATATTTTCTTTACTTTATTCGAAAACGTCAATTTGGACCAGGCTCCTCCCAGTTTTTACGAAAATAGACATATATATATATATATATATATATATATATATATATATATATAGGAGAAACAAGAATAAACATTTTTTTTGACAAATTGTCAGTTTTGATAATTCGAATGTGTCATGCGACGTGTGAGCTGAAGGGTGTAGCAGTGTCGTATTTGCCTGTTCTACTTCTAAATCGGGCGTAAACATCGTTCCATATTAACAGGAATCAATCGCCTGAAGCACGGCCTAATTAAGGCCTAATAACATTTTTAAGCCAGATAATGTCGCTTCTCATAACAACCGTTAGACACCTAGGACTCTCCTATGTTGGTAATGACAGCTTCTTACAGACATCGATCAAATCGTTGCTGATGCATGAGAAATTAATATTAAAAACAAGTTCCTTTAATGCTGCTATAATAATCAATTCGAGACACGACAGTTCGCTCGTGTGCCTGTTGTAATTTTTACTCAGACCTTTAAAAATCCGGATGAACAGAACCATAAACATGAAATCACGCTACCAGTTAAAACTGAAAAATGATGGCAAGTTGCGTGTCTTGACGGTAGTTATTTATAAACCTATTCTTCTGCGGGAGTCGGCGACGATCGCTTCCGAACTTCCAACTCTACGTTTCTGCTAAGGCGTTTATATGAGGGATATTCTCGTATGTTTGAATTCGCGCAGATCAGGGGTTATAGCTTTTTCTTTTTATATCGACGGGTACATACCGCTTGTTCCGTTTGCCAATAATAATAATAATAGTAATAATATTGGCATTTGTAGACGAGTGTAAATTAATAGCACAATATATTGTATATGGTCAGTTTCAGAGTATCGGTTTGTAAACGTCTTGATGCTATCGGCAACAATGGCACACTAATTAAGATAGCCCAATTTACCTTGGCACCTTCGAACGACCCAACTTACCCTGGGCCCTAACAATAATATTATCTACGTTATCTATTATTACATATATAACGTTTTTAGACGTCATGTTCCAGATCGCCTCGGGATTATCTGGGCCTGGATCGCCTTGTATACGTATGTAACATTGACACATTCTTATACTTTTGTTGGCCTAAGTAGGAGAGAGTTTCCGTTACCGTCATCTGCGTTGCAAGAGACCTGAGTATATATATATATATATATATATAACTAGAAATACGTGGACTGCGTCTAGTAATTCTCTCTACTTGTGTTCTGCTAGTAAATGATGTTTTATATATATATATATATATATATATATATATAGGATAGTAACAGTATATAGATTGGACGTACTTGATTGGCTACTCCAAAGTAGTCTTCCAACGCAGATAGTATAGTTATTGATATTATGCATTAAGTAGCATATGCACGCCTTAGATGCAATGGTACGTACGTGGTGCATTTCAAAATGGTGGTAGCGGTGATCTGGCCGCATATGCGGGCAACAAACACTCTCTTCGATGCGTAAGACCTTGTAGTTATCGTTACTTCGCTTCACAACGACTGCAGGGTAATTCGATTCGCGCTATCGATTAAAACATAGAGCTCATGAGGAAAGAGGAGTGAAAGAGACCAATACGATGCACTGTCAGATCATTAATTTTGAGGTGTTACTTGTTCTCCTTTCGAAAAAGGGCCGAGTAGGGCTAGGGATTTCACTATATGAGAGACAGGGAAGAAACAACAACATTTTCTAGTACATAAATTGACTCGGCTGAGGTTTACTTCGTTTTCGTTTCGCCCTTCTTCCGCCATTGCAGTTGTTTATGTTGATGAGTATGGTGCTCACAATTGTAATAATTAGAAATACCGCAGAGTCAGATGTGGCAAGAGTCACCGAACAAAACAGATGTTATTATCATAGCCGATAAAGATGTCAACGTACTATACTTTTGCCGGCTTCGTCCAGCTTGCCCAGCTTCTGTTGCGTATTTCACACCCCATCAAAAATCTACTGGCTAGTCTCGCAATGAAGTGACAAATTGTCGTTATTAAAAGCTACGAAGTATAGTTATTGGGCAAACGAAAATTGTTTGTAGATTCTTCAAGTGTACAAAGCGACATACTTTGTAACAGTTTACCTTGTAAGCACCGTAGGTCGGCTATAGTAATACCTACTTAAACACTCAGCACCTGTCAGTAATTTTGCGGTGATGATTAAAGTTTCACTGGAAATTATACCAGATTTTTTCCCTTTTCTCTCCGTTCGTTTTCATAAATTCATCATCATGTTATTATGATGTTACGATTAAAACATAACAATGAACTAATATAGGTGTCGCTCATTACATTTGTTCCTCTACGAGTCGTCTCGGTGTCATACCACTTGGAACATTGTTGAGGTCGGCAATGTTTAAACATGAATCCTTTCCGTGGAGGTTTTTCCCCTAATAAATCGTACGTATTCGTATACACACGTACATAGATTACGTCTATAGGCGATGCGATGGCCCCGTGAGTACTGACTGAGGTGTTCGTGTTGCTATTGCATTCAACATAGCGAATATGTCTCTTTGATTTCAGAGCGAATTTCAGAATTTATCTAGCACCAGCGTTGCTACAGGGGTGCGAATGTACAGTTGATGGGTTCTTTTCATTTACCATTGCAGTGAGCCTTTGAAACTAGATTAACCCTATGGACACGTGTGTAGATTGTTCCGTAAGACAAAAACGACATACAAACGATGCGACAAGTCTTCCTTGTTTTACTATTAAATGCTCAGTATTGATACCAGTGACGACGGGCCTATAAAGTGCTCACGCTTTATTTCGCTGCACCCCTGCACCCAACGCTTTATTAGATATAATTGACTAAATCGATATTACTCGATCGTTTGATTGTAGATGAGTGTGCCATAGCTACAGCAGGATGTTCGACAGAAAACAATCAATCCCAGAGCGTGTGTTTTCGGTCGTCCTATATAGATTGATTGGAGGAAATAAGTTGTATGTTATATAGAGGAAACGTCGTCAATCAAAACACGGTGTAATCGAAGTTCATTCACTAGGCTCTCACAAAAGAAACCTGTAAAAGGCACTCCAACGGTAGCCTTTATGGCTAGCTGCAGTAAGTATTGAAGATCAAGCGAAACGATCTGTACTTTGGTGGTCACGACAGCAGCAGATGAAGCAAAAAGCTAAATCTGTAGACAATATCTTCTCCACCGTCTAAACGGACCGGGTTATTTCGACGCATCTGGAACAACACGTCAATGTGAACTACTTGACGGTATAACAATGGCTGGAATGACGGATTTCTTCGGATAGGGCAAAAAGACGTTACACTGATTCAGTAACATAATTGCGATGAATGAACTGATCATCGATGTAAGTGTATATGGGTACATACCGTACCTAGGTTTGGCCTACGGATATACGTTGCTATAATACAATTCCATAGGTACATTTAGAATTTATCTCGCCATTCATGCCATCTACAGCTCCGTGTAGTAATCAGTGATGATATTAATAATAATCCTTTGCATTTCCTAATAATTGAATCGCGTAGATTTCGCTAAATGTCGGTGGCATCGCAGAGATGAAGACACGTTATAGAGATCGAATTCAAAAGCGAAAGAAAAAACTTTTAGTAACCAATGATTAAAGGTATGCCAAATATTAAATGTCTTCAATCGGTACTGGCCCGTATATCGAACTACGCACGTATAAAGACAGTGTCACAATTCTGTGCTGAGAAAAGGGGTCAGAACGTAGGGATTTTGTCGTCACTAAATGAACGTCGCCCTCCCTCCGGGTAATTGACAATAATATTAATAGTGATCAGAATTACATTCACGTCATAGACTGAAAACGTTTATTGATGATCAGGTGGCAAGTTGTTTGACATGTCGGGCAGCGTATTAACTTTTTCTGTTTGCGGCTGATGTATATGTATTCAGAAATGGTGATGCGGTCCTCCGACCGAAGTAGGTCCAGTAAAAATAGCGCCAACAACAATAAGTTGGACAGTACTCTGGCACCGCGCAGCTCTGCTGATATCCCACCTACGGTAAAGTGTGATAGGGATGATGATCGATCCGCAGGTCAGTCAGTATCCAAGGCCGGAAAACGGCGTCAGCTCGCGCTTAAGGACAGTTTAACCAAGAAATACAACGCGTACATAAGTCATCCCATTACTATGTTCTTTACGACAATGGACTATTGAATACTATATGACACAGGGCTATACGAATTCCGGCCGTGCCAATGAGCCCAGGCCATGGCGGAAGTGCGTCAGATATAGCAGAAAGGATATTGGCCAAAACCCCTATGTACGTTCAATTGCCATTTTGACTCAATGTCGTTCCCACATTGAGGACGTTTGGTGTTGCCGTCCATTGTTCTTCATAGAACACTGTGGTTCAATGACTTATGTCTATGGGAGATTCGCGCAGCGTTTCGTCGGACGATCGTAAAATTTGTTTTCTGTCGCCCAGTCGCCCTTTCCGCCCTTTAATTCTGCATGTCGTTTTGTGTCGATTATTTAGAATAGTCTCTGCTATCTTTAACGTACTCGTTTAAATTGCAATTTAGGTATGCATATGTATTTACGCATGGGGTCGGCAAATCTATGGAAGAGTGACAACATCCGTACAGCGTATCTGCACTGACGTATCTGTATTTCTGATAACTTAAAACTTAACTTGAATCTGCTCCGCGTGAAGATGAGAGCGTTATTATATGAACCCTAACGAGAGTAGTCGTTGATTAGATTGTAATCATCGTCAATGACTTATTATGACCAGGTGTGTATACAACAAAGTACAGATACTTTAGGACTTACAGATACGTAGCTTTCCCACTTCAGTTTCTAGCTTTGCGTATTTTACAAACACCCGTCAATGGTGCGTAGTACATATGCTAATAATAACCATTAGCCGATATAATCCATAATAGTTTTTATATGCATATTCGTTTATGAATATAGCCCAACCCCCATTTATTCTGTTGGGAGCACGGACGGCAGTAATGATTTGAACCTTAGACATACGTAGATTTTGGGCTGTGACGTAATTATTAGGAAATTTTCTCTTCCTTTATAACGAAACTCTCTCAAGATGTCTCGCAGGACTATCAGATCTGCAAAAGGTATGGCTTAATCAGCTTCATGATGCTGCCTAGACGTGTCACAGTACCGTCTCAACGCTTGCTGAGTATGTGTTCCTTATCAATATTTTAGAGGCAAAAAGTCAGAATATATATGTTATACGGGTACAGCTAGAGCTGTATCACTGACCAGCAATAAAATTGTTATTATTATTATTATTATTATGCTTCATCGTCATATATTAGTTATTATTGCGCTGTGTCCTAATATATGTATGTTTAGTTGGAACATTGTTTAACAGTTGATACTCTCCACGTAAAGATAGAGACCACTGAGAAGCGTGACCTATAAACCGACCAAACAATCACGACCTGAATGACGTGCCGAAAATCCGCAGCGTTTTATAAGCATCCGGGTTACGTGTTCGTCCGTTCCGTAATTAGTTGTAGGTTTACGTAGTATGCGTCGCACGCGTCTAATTCATTTTGTGTTTGCGTCCTAATGGCATTTAGTCAGGGGAAAACGCTTCCATAGTATGACCCCTTTCCCACTGCGGCCGTCAGAGATGCCATAGGGTACAACAAGAACAACAACAACAGCGAGGTGGCACGTGATTTGATTCTATACACATATACACGGTCGGATGTTGGGACAGACGTTTACTCTGGCATCAGCAGAACCATAGAAGTACATTGCTAAGTTTCGCTAAATTATCAATCAAAACACAGTCTGGAATCGCACATCGAGTGCAATATAAATGTGTTGTTTTTTGGCAAACAGCCCTAAGATCGGACTACGATCTGAGACGATCTTTTTAGGATGTTATGATTTTCCATAAACGTAGAGTATCTTTCGCCGCCTTTTCTCCCTGTAGTCCCTTGAAAACGCAGGGACCGTCGTTGCCCAGCACGTTAGCAAATCGCGCCGTGTCATTCTTGATATCTACTGACTACAAATACACATCGTGTTTAGCCAAAATTTTGGTACGGACGGGTGATGGTTGCAGAGCTCGATACGTGACGATCGGCCGATACTCGATTTTCGTTCTGGGCTAGGCAGATCAACACCTCGGACTAATTCTATTTCCTTGTCATTATTACGACAATGAAATGGCTTGACAGTTCAGGCCGTCTGCTAGCATATTGCTATTGAGCGAAGGTGTTGTCGTGAGCACAAAAACAACGTTCATTTTTCTATTCTCCTCAATGTTGCTGTGGATGCTATTGTTGTTGTTCTTGTTGAGCTAACGAAAACAAAATGTTACGTACGTGCTGAATTGGACCTATTACAGCTCGATATCGTACTAAGTAATTATTTCGTTCAAATTCCTCCGTGGCTATTAAAGGACCGCTGGTAGATCCTATTAAGCGTATACAGGCGTCCTGAGTGGGTACGAAGACTTCGCATAATCGGTAGCATTGTTGCCGTTGTCGTTCATATCGATGTGCCGCCCAGATCCTGCCGCAAACGTGTACATGGTAGGTAATGCTAATACGGTATTCATAATTATTACAATTATTGTGTAAGTATTTATCACAGCTAGGGTAGCTTGATATGTGTCTGGTTCCGAGGAGTAATAGTTTTACCTGAAACAAACCCGTGATAATGATAACCTTTATATAGAACTGTAAAGCTTACAAACGGACGGAGCGCCTGAACAAATGACTAGCTGTATATGCAGGGAAAAATCAGGGCGAATAGTTTGATGTATAGTTAGTAATGCTACGAGCTCGAATGTATTTTTGCAAGTCCTATCTGTGCAAAACTTCTCTCTTTAATAAGTATATAATTTAATTTCACTGACTTACTTACCAAATTCTACATTTGGACAGAAAGCCTATTTGTTTGCAGCCGATGTGGCTCTGTGTTGAGGACTTTGTGATCGGGTCAGCATCGTAGCGCGGCACCTGCTCAGAAATCGACCACCCCAACGATAAAAAGATCCAAACGATATGAAAGCCACTTAGTTGACTTCCTGACTTAAAGATGGCAACGCTTAAGGTTTTTTTGCTCATACCGAGGCGATTAAAGGCGTTCAACAGCAAAAGCATTAATCCTATGGGTTGGTTAATGAATTTTTAGGCAGATGACAAATTTTCAGGACAAAAATAGACTAAAAAGTATAATATTTTTTTTTTGAAACGAGCATTTTTCATCGGCATTAACAGGCTTAGTGGTTTCCTTTGTTAGATATTGTAAGCTAGCACACCTCCGAGCACATTTATTACGAATGACATCTCATATGTGATTTGCACGGGATATCTTCGTAATAAGACAGCACCAATAGCACCAAAGCTTATGAAAGGAATTGCACAAAGCACCAAAATCGATAGCCTCTAAGCTACCCTGGTGTAACCTCGAGGAAGACCGTTCCTCAATGTAAAATCTGTGTGGTAGAACTATACTTCGCTCTACCAATCCATCCAAGTAACACATATGTAGGATTGTCATCCCTTGAGTTAAAAAGCAAACGAAGGGAACAGCCAATAAAGAGCTAAATTGACTAAGCTACTCTAAAAATATGAAGAAAGACAACAAGCCATGAGGACATACTTCTTCGTTTGCGCAGCTTTTTTTGTTTTTTATTAATGTACGAGCATTCAAAAATCAAGCACAGCCACTAAGATCGTGTTGCGTAGATTAGGTGGGGAATTAGCAGCAAGAGGATAGTTGAAGCTGTATGCGGGTTTTAGGGTCAGCTCTTTCCGATCGCATGTCCTTGTGTTAAGGGTGCTAATCAGTTGGTGTGGTCGAGTCTCAGGCACGGCAGGACATGATCCGACAGTCGTAGATCCCTGCCGTAGGTTAAAGCAAAGTATTATTTGACGTTCAACGAGCACACAGGGACACACTCTTTAATGGATCACCCGTGACGAGACGCAGAACCGGCCTGCTACGTTCGGCCGGACCGTCTATGTTGTGATGTGGCCATTAAAGTCACCGCCATCAGCGGTCTCTGCTAGATCCGAACAGCTGGTAGACACCGGGTTGTAGGCATAGGCTTATACGACATGGAGAATTAGTAAGGGGCGCAAAAGAAGCAGCTGCTCCTTGAAAGCGTCTTCGATAGCAGCTATAACAGCATCAACACAGTGGACGCAGATGGCAACCGAGAAAGCTTAGTCGCGCACGCGTGGTAATGAGTGAAAACAGGCTGGATAAGTTAGCAGGATCGAGCAGAGCTTGCACAAGCTGTGAACGGGCGCCCTGGTTCGACACATAAGCTAGCCATCTGCTCTAGACAGATGATCTGTGTTATGTACCGATTCATCGAAGCTGTAGTTGGTGCCATCAGTCGGGAGGCACACCTGCGTGGCGTTCCTCCACTGCCAGCTCGGCTTCCAGGTTCAGTTTTAGGCGGTCGTCGAAGTGGTGTTGAGGTACCCGAACCCCCACCGCTACTTCCGCCGGTCGCGTTCCCACTGCGGTCAGCATTGCCACGACGTCTTTCGGCACTTCGCGACGGCCGTTTTTGTTGGCTTCCCTGTGAGGAACCGCCAATTGCAATTCCAATGCCTGATATTGTTCCTCCTCTACCAGCAGCAGCCCCAAGTCCACTTGTAGGGGACGTACCCACAGGCGGTGTTCCTAACGAAGACACTTCGCGTCGACTTAACTCGATCTTGTGAAGTTTCATACTTTTCAGAGGTGACATGTAGTGAGGTAGCGCGCAATCGTCATAGCTTGATGGGCGCGAACTCTGTGAGGTAGATATGCTGTAGGGCAATAGCAGAGCATTGTGATACATGACTGGCTGTTTTTAAAAGGTTTCAGAATTGCTAAAAAAAAATTTGCGTTTCACAAAGTTCGCTGAAGGTAAATCCTGTTCGGTGGTTTATTTTTTGTCGGAGCTTGTCATGTTATGGACTCTTTAGTAAAAGTATCTATCGATTTAATTCCATGCAACCTCTGAACTTAAGTGACTTCGACCAAGCCCACATCTTTCCCGCCGACTACTAATATATTTGCTAGTAAATACTGAAGAATACGCCGTACTTGACTCATATGCGCTCGAAACCGTTATATTGTTACGATAGACGTACGAAATGTACACAGCCCTGTGATATTTGGTAGGTAATGAAACACGGATGTACGGACTCATCCTTCTCAGATTCAGGTTAATACTAAGTTAATGCTATATTGGATTAAATGCAATGGCAGATCTATATGTTCTGATCGGCATAACAGCTCTACTGATCTACTCTGCCAACTATATGACAAAGAAACAATCAGGAAGTTAGTTTACTTGGGGACTAACTTGGTTCCCGTTGCGGTAACGCTCCGCGAGCTGCGATTTCGTTGGGCTTTGATTTTGACCAGCTGATCCCCTTGACTCCCCCGTTCCTTTTCGCGAGGTCCCGTGGGTCCACCGGTGATCCTGCCAGCTCCATTCTGTCCGTTCTGGGCTGTAGTAGCTCCACTGGCAGTTGTGGCCACAAACGTCGATGCTGCCGATGTTGACGACGGGTTACCATGGGCGTTGTTGTTTTCACAGTCCAACTGTATTCGGTCTACTTGTGATAGTATTTTCTGCAGACCCCTTTCCGATTCGACTGAAACGGACTCGGGTTTTTGCAATCGTCTAGTGCTGAGAGCGGTCAAATGACAATAACAGAGCAGAAGAAATCAAACACTTTAATAATCCAAATAATGAAGAGCGACGATGAAAGTGTATGGAGAAAGACTCCAAGGGTTTGCTTTTTTAAATTGGATATTTTAGACTGAATCCAAATCTCCTCTATGTATTCGTTTGACGCGAATGATCATTTATTATTATTATTATTATTATTATTATCGTACACGCCTAGCCATAAATGCTAGCTAGTCAGCCTTTATGGTCCGAACATAGATATCGTTGACTACTGGTTATTTTCCCGTTTTTGTCGCCAGCAGTTATACAAAATTAGAACTCATAGTTCAATAAGCAGCGTCCATATGCAATTAACACATCTGAATATCTGATGAATCTTTTCATGAGATAAAAAAAAAAAGACTTCACCTTGGAGTTAAACTCGCTGGTCGATGAACGATGCTCTGATGCAGTTGAATGGTAAAGTGATTTTCGTTCTTTTGAGTGAATGCAAGTAGAGAGTTGAGCTCACTATTTTGTGCTTCATTTGTGCCTGCTACTATCTGGCCGCTGTTGGCCATTGCAGGCGTCGACGTCGATGGCGAAACGGCCATAGCACTCGCTGATGGTGGCGGTGGCTGCTGTACGCCGACCGTTCCGTTGTTATTATTGTTGTAGATGGCGCTATTAAGATTATTGTTATTATTGTTGTTGTGAATTACGCTGCTGTTTATGTCGTTGCTAGGATTATTCGTCGGAGCACTGTCTGTGGTGGCGCTATTGTTGTTGAAACGATTGGACCGTTGTTGACTTCGGTAGATATCTCCCTGCAGCCAAAGATATGCTTGTTTCCTATCGTAAGCGTAAATCGGAGCAGAGCGGAAGTGATAACACAATCAAATGTTACTATAGTAGCAGCGAAATAGATTCGATTTAAATACAAACCTAATTGTGTAACGCTGGTACATACATACGCAACAGACTTTTTTTTTTTATATGTCCAACCATATTTTCAGCCGTCCACTTTTTGTCAAGCCTTCTTCTTCGGTTCTAGAAAAAAAACAAGCGTTTAACCTTTCAAAGTGGTTGGCTATGAAAAGCGATGATCGAACGTACTGCGGGCAGTTAAACACCCCCATCTGGGAACAAGTGTCAGTCGCTAATGGTCAGGGAAAAGCTTAGAAAAAAACGTTTGATTAGCCAAGGACTGGGTACTCTGTTGACGGGGCTACTTAGCAAGAAACGTGCCGCCTTAGAGATGAATAGATAATACGACTTAATATATTGCGCCAACATAGTGATCCGCATGGCCATGTTCAATTATACACACAGACGTTTTCAAATAAATTTTTTGCATAGGAAGACGACTGTATATAGAGCTAAAGCAAACAAATAACCTAGATGTTTCAAAGGAACTAATTTACTTAGATGAACACTATGGTTATTTTTAGTTGTTCGATATTATACACCGATCTTGCTCATGTATACGTTACCGCTTTTCCCGCAATGTTTATTCCTGTTTTCAGTGACAACATTAAGAACGCTCGAAAGGTTCTATTCTGTCTATGTGTGGCAAACTTAGAGACGGTCTGGGAAACCCCTCTGTTGAAGGTGCCGATTCAAGATCGTTCTTCTAGATATTTTTATTCCAACGCAGGTTGGCTTAGGTCTAAAGGTCACTAGAGTACTAGTCGAAGCAGTTTTCCAGCAAATTCGGCAGAAACGCCCGCTCCCTCTCATGGTGATTTCTCTTGACCTGTCGAGTTCCTGTACCTAAGTGCATAGATAGCTAATTCATTTACGGAACGAAACAGCGGTTACTTCTAGAGAAAAAATAAATAGAAGCCTAGTTCCATTGACACTCGTATGCATTATTTTCGGAGGAATAGCGATGAAAAACGTCTGACGTACTCCTCAAGCCAGTGCTGCTGATGACCAATGACACTTCCCGGCCGACAAATACGAATCCATCCGATAGCTTCAGCAGCAGTAAATCTGAAATTATTGAGAACGAGAGTCCACTTTTTTTTGACGAGAGACTTTTTTTGAGTCGAAAGAAATTCATTCTTGACCAAAAAATTGTTGCAAGCGTGGCCCAGTTGATTCTTATCGAAACGATGTACCGATTAGTTCATTATGGATATTACCTAGTAGAAGTATGTACATACCTGAAGTGTTTCATAATATAACAAGCGATAAGGGTACCGGTACGTCCGAGACCGGCCTTACAATGGACTGCCAGGGCGCCAGGCGCACTTTCTGCAATATCCAAGAATTCACGCATGATAGCGTCGGACGGCGTACTTCCGTCGACAAAGTATAGGTCCTGCAAGAAAGATTCAACGTATAACATTAATTCAATTCAAAACAAACTTACATATACATTCGAGACCACGCCAATCTCTAACTGGAGTATCACTTTCGTGGTGGTTGTCATTCGTTGAAATCATACCCATGGCAACCTAAACACATTAGGCCAAATGACAGCCCCCATACTTCGTGAGTAAGCCTATCGCCAACAGAGGACATTAACGTAACTAGTAATTAATGAGTCGAAGGTCGGCCTTTTAGGGAACACCAGCGATCTGCGCTTGGCTCGTCATTATTTGCAATGTAGTTACATAGGCCACACGCTTAGATCCACCATAGATTTGATTGCGGTGACTGGTTTTGGTTTATGATGATGGAAAAAACTGCTCTCCAGTAGATCTGCACGACGTCCGCAAATGAACAGAGAGGTATGAAACAAGCGCGCAATGACTGTACGTTTGTAATTTACATTCAGGTCGCTAAAAAAAACCTGACGACCTATAGAAGCACAATACGTGTACTGCAAAACGAAGAAGTCGCCCGAAAGCAGGCTTGAAGCCTTTCATTACTTTTCGTGTATACCCGGTAGCTATTTAAAATCAAGCTAGACGTTCAGTAGACGGTGTGAAGCTTCTGCACGAGGCAACACCGTTTTCATCCGTACACCCGCTATTTGGCTTTCTGAATGTGCCTCTCACTGGCCATTACCCGTGCCCAAATATGAATTTGATTACATTAGTATCAACGGGCTTGCTTTTGGCGTTGCGTTATTGAAAAATGGTGGGAGTTACCATTGTACACATTATCATGACAAAAGAGGATAATCGAACCATCCTAACGCGTACGGAACGATGAACGAGGGCAAAGTCAAGATAAAGCAGTTCGTGCAACCTCAATAATGAATGTAGAAGGAACAGTTGAAGGATGTTGAACGTTGTCATAGCACTCGTTATAAATTATTTGCTCAATGAAAATATCTACAGGTTTTCGGCCCCGATTTTATTCGAATTCAATTTTTGAGGCTTTTTTGTAAGCAAGACATTTTCAATTTTTTGCAAGGTTGTTTCTGCTTTGTTGAAGAATATTACAGTTACTCGGTAGGCAAATGAGGGCTGCCGAGATAGCAAGGAACAGGTAGATCTCCTTTCCTTCCTCCCGAACGATTTCTAGTCGGGAAGAAAATGTCTTTTTTGGTTTCTCTGTGTATGCAGGGCTTTTATGTCGTCTCCGAAACGCCTATGGTTCATAAAAGCCCCACATATGCCTTTTTGTAGTGACCCCCTCCCCCTCCTACGGAACATTCCGTCGGTGCAGTGATTGCTGGCTAGATCTAGAGCGGGTCAGACAGTTCCCAGATGGGGTTCTCGTAGAGTAAAGGGTAAATGCTGTTGCCATCAAGAAAAATAAGGAGAAACCTCTGAACGCAAAAAGTAGCTGCGGACGTATTTTACACGACAAATAAGGAAATTGCCATGCAGAAAAGTGTGAATTAATTAAGCATATTTTTTATATAACGCGTTTTTTTCAAACGACTTCGATCATTGCTAAATGTATTTTAAATCGTTATACGATATCTGGGGACGTCTAGGATTTTTTTTTATTTCGGTTGAACTCTTCTTCGGTCACTTCGATGTTGAAGGACTCGATCAGCGGAACAGGGTACTTTTTCTTATTTGATTTGCCATTTTGTAGAAGAAGGTTTCCATTGTGCACGTGTTCTCGTTGAAGTCGACAGGCCTGAAGGCAATTTGCGAATGCCCGAGTTTCAAGAACCCGCAGCTCAAAATGCAGTGATACGTCTTCAACGTTAGCCTCTCCAAAAAAGTGTTTTTGGTCCAAGCCAGCTAATTGATATAATAAACATTCCATGTTTCATGCTATTACTATCTATTGCTGGCTAATTCAGATAGAGATGGATATAATATATTTACAAGAATCAAATCTAACAGTTGTACACTGCCGTATATCATCTAAAAATATAATAATATGCAAATGAACGAAGTAAAACGCTGTTGTAGTACACAGCTTTTCTGCCTGGTCCAATTTGGTATACGTCCCATAGTGAAAATAATTAGCATAAAAATTATCGGAATAAGATTCGAAAGAAGAAAAAAAAACAAGCTCTAACTGGAAAGGATAATCCATAAACCTTTTAACTGCAGAACGGTTGGACCTTAAATATATGTATAGTTTAACTTAGATTAATAAACAACTCAAGTAACAATCAAATTAGTGCCTCAAAAGTGTAGGAAAAAGACGTATGAGATCAGTCCGTTAGACAGAGGCACACGTTTCACTAGTCCATACGCCATTAAATTTTACTCCTCTTCCTAAAAAATGTCCATCCTCAGCCTGTTCGTTATTGCAGCAGATTATACTTTCTTATCCGCTCAGAACGGGTTCTAAAGCCATAATAGACCCATCCGTACAAGGCTCATACGATTATATAATATGTAAGCCCTACCTGACCAACCCGATAAGTGTTACTCACGTTATACACAGATGAACTATTATAATAAGCAACTTGAAAAACAAGATTAATAATAATGATAATTTTTTTTTTTAATTTAGTTGCTTAGGTTACTTGTAGATGAGCGAAATTAGTCAATGCCAATGAGAAAAACCATATGCTATGTTACAGCATAGGGTTAGTTTTTGTCTGAATCTTATGGCACAAAATGCAGGGTTTGTCGTTCCTCCTGAATTTACAGCGTTTCACAGTAACATTAGCGATACTGGACCTCGTCTCTAGCAGTAATGTGTGACCTATGTGCATGATAATTATTTGGAATCACGGATTGCATATCTGTCTGCAATGAGGTCTCAGCTCTGTCAAAAAAGGCTCTTTAGTTTTATATCGTTTTCTAGAAATGGAAAACATGACTTTGCATCTTGTTGTCGATTTTGACACTTACAGGTTTAGCCGTTAGTCAGAGATGTCAAATAACGGGATTGTTCTTCATGCGTATTGAATAGATGCCTGCGGCCAACTTGATGAATTGTAATTGTGACGTTGTTGAAAATAATTTTCTTCAAAACATAACTATTCTTCGGCTAAAGGCCCTATTGCTAGTATGTTTATGTCAAAATGGATACCTTATTTACCTTATGAGTAAATCCGTTTTCCGTAAATTTGGAAGCGTCATAGATTTTCTTGTTGAGTCTAATCACTGTCGTCACATTGTGTTTCTTGAAGTAGTTGAAGTAAGTTTCCGGTCCATGCAATGGATGGCCGTTTTCAACCTGAATCAAAATGAAGACATTGCAGCGAATCGTGTTATCAAGAGACTAGACAAGAAGCTTTATTATAACAATGGTTCGAGAATACTTCTTCCATCGAGAAATACGTAGGTAAAAAATTGCCAAGCAATGCTGAAAAAAGCTTAGTAATAATCGCCCATTAATATACGTGGCTTTACATAGGCCACAATATAAATCGATTAATTATGAGTATCAATTCGAAGAGCAAACAATGGCTTACTTGTTTATTTGCACTATAGAAATATAACTTGAATCTTCATTTTCAGTCGCCTAAAAGTGATTTAGTTATATGCCTATTCGAGAGGTACTATTGTCTATAACCGTTCGTGTTAGCAGCTGATCCGTCAGGGATTTGGCAGTTATACCTTAGATTTGGCATGAGGTCCGCAGAACGCAAGGAATTTTCCTGGTACAATCCAGTTAAAATCACCGTTCTCAACTCGCTCGAAGTGTTCGTATTCTTCAAGGTCGAATCCACCTAAACTGAAGTCGATGAAGCCGACTTGAGCCGCCTTTTCCAAAGCTTTGAGACAATGAAGAACCGTGAGCTGATACGTCGTCGGCCCTACCGAGGCATCGCGAAACGCGAGAAATGGCTGGGGGCTCGACTGTTGCAGAGGACGGAATGCTTGCTCGGCGCTGCGGTCCAGGTACAGAATCTGAAAAAGTGGCGGGAAAATTAGAAGGGTAAGAACATTTGTTAATGTTAAAAATCCAACATGGACAGCAATACTGTGCAAAGGAGTTAAGCATTTTGCCCTATCTTGAATGATAGGATTACCTGACGAGTAATTGGGCAGCTATTTGATAAAGAATCTATCTCAGACCGGTTGTTGCTGGAAGCGAAACACTTTTTCAAGCGTTCGATATTGCTCGTCGCACGAACCGCGTGACTTGTGGTCCGCCAAATTTGTTCAAGTTGCTTATGGGGTTTGCATCTATTGCAATAGCAAATAACACCTTCTAAGTTGACACTGTTTTTAAATGTATCCGAGGCTAGATTCAAAGGGTACATTATTTTCGAATCTAAAATAGACGTCCATTGTCCCGGTCAACTGCGCTTCACTACAATACTGTCGTTGATCCGTCAATGGATGCCTGGATCTGTTTTTGCTCACCTTAAAGTTCTTTTGGAGCGCATATCTCATTACCATCAAAGCCCACCAGCTGAGAAATGGAAAAAATCCAGTAAACTGAAAGATTTATTTTGAATGTAAAGTGCCTATATGTTATAATCTATGGAATTTTACTCTACCCAACACATAACACAGGAGGAGTTGTTATAGCTGACGTTTTTCTATGACATGGTAGGAATGAGATTCGTTACGCTGTCGCGGCCGATGGCGATAGTGGATATCTGGGAGAACTCCCCCTGTATGGCACGGCCTGAGAGGTAAAAGGCGAAAGGAGAAGCGGTTTAATACTAAAAAGGCAGTGGAAAACATCGGAACTCCCCGATGGCGAACCGGACACATGGGCAATAGCGTCGACTGACCAATCACTCTATCGCGCCATTATAAGCGTGTCGTTTGATATTTGCCTCTAGGTACGTATATCTCTGTTCGTGGCTGCTTAGAATAGTGTGAGCAGGCGGCGGCTCTACAAGTCTAACAGAAAGAAGGGGTTCATAGAAGGACAGCAGAAACAGAGGTAGTTCTTGTTCACATAATATGAACAGAAAGCTCTGAGGGCTTTTCTCATCATTAGCTTTTCGGCTTTTGCTGGTCTATCTGCAGTACCTACTAGGCCGAAGGTCACGGGGCAGTAATAGGAAACCCGACGATCTCTAGTGGAGCTGTAATTTAAAAAAAAACAGAAATTTCTTCGTTGTTCTCGCTCACTGGTTCATATATGGTTCATATGAATGTGTGTGTGTTTGAATACTGTGTGACACTGCACCTTAAGGAATCAGGCGTCGGTAAGCAGATGTCAATATGGTTGCAGCTGCAGTCTCCGTGAAAGGCGAAGGTGACGGTGGAATAAAGGTTGATTAGTACAACGACAAGTATTCAGTGGCAGTATTTATTTCTTTAATTAATTATTAATTTATTTAAGAAATGACTCGTGTTTTCGTGACTTCTCAGAGTTAACGTAGTTAAGATTGACCTGTGGCACGTTTGAAGCGCATGTAACAGAAAAACGATCACATAGCACACTTGTCGAAAGAGATCCGGTACGTAAGCTTTGTGGCCTTATGAATCTAGGTAAAACTTTCGGCCGTTGCTTCTATTGGGGTTTAAACCAAAGAAAACCTGGTAATTATTGAACAACTCTTATCCTAGCTAATTATCTAATGTAAGAAAAAATCAAAAGGCCTCTTAGGTGAGTGCATTTACATCTAGCAGATGCATAACAAAAATAGCGGGCTGGCCAGATTTTCCGATATATCAACGTCTGTCACTCTCCAATTTTCCCAAATAGCACCAATAATCAGAATAAGTAAATGAAAAAACACGTTACATCAAACCCACGCTTCACTGTCACACTGTGCCATTGTATTTATTTACATTTACATTACACTGTGCCATTATACGATAGCGACAATGAACGCTAACTAGGAGCCTTAAACGCTTTATATGAACTGGTATACAAGCGCCGGAACAGGCATCACGTGTCGTCGAGAAGAGTATCAGCGCAAAATTAGCTGACTAGGGACTCAGATAAGGTGGCTGCGAAGATAATTAAGCCTGCTTCTGCAGGTTGTCGCCTCCAGCAGTGACGATGCCGGTAACAGCGAGGGTGTCGGTCAGTCGTTGTGTATAAGGCCAAACGCGGTCCGCGAGAAATCTAATAAACGATAAGCGAGTTTGGCTGAAATGATTTTGCGCCATTTGCCGATCTGTTCGTAAGCGTGGGCGCATCGGTTCCTTAACATACGTTTAAATCTAAAGTGAGCGACGCCCAAAAATCTGTGACTATTTCTTTCATTGCTAACCAACTTTGTTAAGAGTTGAGATAAGTTGAACGGATCTTACCAACATGGGCCGAAAGTGCCAATATAAATGCTTTACTAGGTAGCTGTTAGAATATGTATATGCAGGTGGCCATAATTCGATCTGTGTGTGTATTGGTCAACATGTCGGCCAACTGGAGTATCCTGCAGGCAAAAACGTGCAGTTGACATTTGCGCACTGAACTTCATAATAATATTATAAACTGTGATTATTAAATGATCGGATCTACAGCCAAATGTATTGAAGATCACGGTCACACATGATTCTAGCTATTTCAGGTATATCATCGATAGACCATAGTCTGGATGCGTGCAAGCAGATGTAGCTTTTAGACAGGTGAGAACCGCTACTACTGAATCTTTTCATAATTACGAGCATCGAGAATGACGATAGAGAAGGCAAATCATTCTTCGTTACAAAATGAATTTTGAAAACTTAATTGTTCCTCAGAGATTCGTCCTTTTTTTCCCGAATAAAAATGTATCGCGTAAAAGTACTAACCATGAAGTTATCGAATAGCGCTAACTGAATAGTAGTTATGAAGCCATTTTTGCTATATAGGAACTAGCACGCACAAGATGCCTCACTGGCTATCTCAGAGCTGCGGGCGAAACGATTATTCCGAATTTTGTTCTGATCTTTCTTGCCAAACCGCCGAATACACTGCATTATTTTACAGCAGTTTTTCAAGTTATATGGGTTTTATATATGTAAGTTCTATAACCTAAATTGTAGATTTACCGCAACGTGTCATAAAAGAAGGGTCGGAATTGTTGCTGCGATGGCTAAAAGGTGAAGGTGATCAGAGCAACGTTAACTGTTCACTAGCACCGATTTTTTTTTACTGCAGACATTTTTAAAACACTAAAGAAATAATCTATAACATTTGATTGGTCGCGTCGCGTCGCGTTCGCAATCGTTAGAAAAGGATCAATAAAACTTGAAGTAATTCAGACAGTTGTTTAAAGCTATATATATTATTTAAGGGTGTATCTTTAAGTAAAAGTAAGTGTTTAAGGGCATTTTGTCTTTTTTTAATAGCTTTCCTATTCTGCTTTATCCGTTTTCAGATCGAGAGAAAATAATCAAGAGGTTTCCCGCTTTCCAAGATGATGACTACATACATGGATATACTCTGGGGAAGACACAGTACAGCCTGCGCCCTTTTACCTTCCGAAGCAGATATCCTGGTATTCTACTGAACCTAGACCCCTCGAGAGCTTTTTTGTTCGTACGCCCGACACGACGATCTTTCTCTCTGTTGCTTTCTCTTTTCCTGCTTCGAAACTGTAGAAAAGGCGAACAGAAAAAGACGTGCTGCTTTTTACAGTCGACACGGTTGCGGCAAACCTTGATGAACACGCCTTCCAGCACCCCTCAGATCTTGCAAGCGCCTGATTGAAGAGCATTCATTCATAGGGAGCCTGTCACTGGATTGCTGCTAACGATTGTTGGCAATGGCTGCTGCAACGCCGAACATGTAAAAAATTGATTGGATAGAGCGATCAACTGACCGACGCCAAACGAGAGGAAGTGTTTCAAAGAGGAATCATTCGCGCAGCATGGACGTGTGTGTGTCTGTTTGCTCAAACGAATCCCTACACACATCTCCTGTTATGCCGTTGATCCCCTAAGAACGAAAATCTGTACTGGTCGGATGACTGGGTCGGTGTGTCTCCTAGCTGATTTCGTACGTCTAGACTTTGCAGCTTCTTGTGAAGCAATGGAATCTCCAGGAATTCAGTATCCTGGGAGCGGCCCAAGTCGGAGGGCGATGGGCTAGGAGAACTGTTCTATGCTAGACGGGGGAGCTCTCTCATCACACTTGAATTTAACCATATCGTTGTTTTATTCGTAGTCCTTAGGTGGTATGCGACAGCGGGTTCGTACGACGCGTATACATCTGCTGTGTGCAAGCGTGTGTAACTCGTCCAGTCGTTTGTTTCTTGGGCCTAGCTTCGACCAACAGCGGCCGGCGAGACATGTTATCGGCTGGCTAAACTTCGTCAGCTTAAAATATTAGACATTCTGTTATTCCTTCCATCTGCCATCCCCTTCAAATACTTGAAGTCCCTCAAGACCTTACTCCTGTCATCGCCAGGTGAACCAACAACCTGAACGAGTTACACGTCAGTGTCCATTGCATTGAGAGAATTGACCTTCTATCGCTGCTATTGTTTCAGTATTTGTCAAATCAAAGCTCTGATAGCCAAACCCTGATGTTATTAGGAATCCGTTGAAGTAAACTAACATCTATGTTAGCTAAAAATTGATAAGTAAACGTAGGCTCTGGCGCGATTTTCAGCTGAAATACAAAAGTAGATTGCCACTTTTTAGTGTACGCAATTAAAAAGGCTACTTCTTTTGAAAATCTTTATTTTCACTTATACATACCTAACATGATCTACATAGCTTAGCTTTTTAGTATGAAAATGTGTAACCATTTCGGTATTTGAGGTCCACGTATCTAAGGCGAGTAGTACAAATTGAATACTGCTTGTACTCAACGTCGTAGGTCTATCATTTTTAATAAAAAAGCTAATACTGCAGGCCTAACACTATGTTCCATTAGTAACTCAATGGATTATGTATTTGCCTGCTAATCTTAGAAACACGGTGTGCTCTAGGTTTAAATCCGGGCATAGACACGCATCGTTTCGTGCTGGAAGCCAATCGCCTATATGCTATAATGTTCAACGGCAGTACAGAATGTAAGACTAATAAACATAAAGGTCTGATAGTGACCAGAATCTTATTTTTTTGGGGGGTATGTAAATTGATATTAGGGGACTCCACCAGAATAATCACCCCGAAATATAGCAAACGCAGTGTTTCTCCTAGGCTAACATAAGGATATATTCAACACGATCTCACACAGCAGTAGGCACAAACCGTTATTTTTATTTACGCATACTACAGCCATGCGTATAGTTCCGGTACAGAATTGATCGTTCGAATGTAAAACAGCCCACACAATCCTTTCGTTCCATTTACGATCGTCATCTAGTCCAGACTTGAATAACATCTATTCTTTCTAGTCCCATCGGCAAGGACCGCAAAGTCAAACGATCATTCTATTCGAGGTGTCATTCTGATGCTACTCATTTTTTAAAATTTTTATTGTCTTTTTTTATATTTAAACCAAACAGATTGCCTCGTACACCCCAACCCTACAACGCCTTTGTATAGTTGACAAGCCTTACTTATATTTACAACACTGAGACCTTTGTGTGTACGCGGGACTACAAATCTTTACGACGAACGAGATCATGCATATCAGATACGTAAACGTCCAGTGTTTATGCGGCTCGTCAATACTGAGGCATAGTTAGGTTCGTAGCTTGCGGGAAATGTTGATGTCTGCGTTAATTAAATCCCTAGAAGCTCGCATCCGTACGTTTTTACTCAAATATACCGCGTCTCAATTCAGAAATGCTTAGAGCTTCTATTAGAATGGGGATAGATTACAGAGCGCGGAACGGAGCCGCGTACTCCGACATAGTATAGCGAAAGCGGGCCGCTGTAATCTCTAGAAAAGGCCCGATCCTAACTAGTTGATTTGTACAATGGCTGGTTTCATTTAGACATCTTGTTCAGCCAGCTAAGTAATTTTGGCAAAACGATTTTTATACTCTAAATATCTCGGACCGTTGACGGCAAACTTATTTTTGCAACACCAAGATCAAAAGGGTGCTCTGCTGTACTTTCATTGACACCTGCCGTCAAATACTCAACTGTCCGTACAACGCATTCTGCTATTGTTAGAGGGATTTTTCAAAAAACAAACCTGGTAGGCTCCAATGAGAAAAGCAGCATTCGCGCGTCGACGTTCCTCGTTCGAACAAAAGTGCACTACAGTCTTGCCGTTCGCCTCGCAGCTCTGGAATAAAAAGTAATTGAATATGTACAGAGATCAACGCTAACGAAAAACGTACAAGTGTAGTATGGCTATTATAAGTATGATCACGATGAATGAAACAAATCGGATTTATATATATATATATTCTATGACATGCATCGTACACGAAGTCGCAGGCAAGCCTACAAAAAATCGATTTTCAAAGAGACCGATTCGCTTGTAGTTTAGACGTAGGAAAACTCTTGTTACGGATATTTTAAGAGAGGACAAAAAGGGAAAAAGATCTATTTTGGAGGACCACGAATTCAACTTATTCTCATACCAGTTACAGATTATGGCGCGGTATCGAATCGTGCCAGTCTATGGACGCTTTCTACGACACTGCACTACATTATATTGTACGGAAGCGTAACTGATTAAGCTTATGCTGTTTAGATATGCATATTTTTGCCGAATTATTATTCATCAATGTACAAAGTGCGTGTGACAATCCATGGCAGACAATTTTCTCAGGGTTAATGATTTTGTTTCACTTGCATGGTTGATTGTATAGGTTGCATATTACCCGATGCTCGGTCTGTATTTACTAATTCGTCTGCTAATCACTGTATATGTGTTTAAATCTTGCAAGTACTGTCAATAAAAGAAAAACCGTCACTAGTTAGGCGCAACGTCAACATGATCGCATGGCGTATAACCATAAAAGGAGCTTCTAAGCTTCAAAAAACCTTTCTTTACTTTAATCACACGCATCAAGGGGTTAGGTAGGTTGCACTATCCATGATAATAACCCAGCTATACCTAGTATCTCCTTTTGAATTTCTGACATTCCGACTGCGATTTGGAGACATGTGAGACCATGATAAGTTTATGCATTATTTGCATTTTTCTTTTCGTTCGCATTCATTTGCAAAAGTTTCGTAACTACATTGCATATATGACGAATAATATTAGGGCTTACGGTGTACTATTTTTTTTTATATTTCTTTTTTACGGGAATTTATAAGCAGTTTCGCGTTTTACGGGTAAAACTGTGGTTCGTCACAAGGCAAGATTCAGCGTGCCATTCAGTAAACCTATTTTGATATATATATTGGATAGATTCTGTCTGTTGGAATATTTCTTGTTAATCTATCAATGATTGGCTAAAGACTTTGACGTCTTTAAAATTTGATTTTAAGCCAACGTCTGCCGACTGTTTCTTGTTTGGTAGTCCTTTCAATTGCATGTATGCAACCTGCCTTTATGGTCTAAGTCGGTCAATAAACCTTTTAAAATACAAACAGCTTTTGGCATGTATCGTTTACCTCGAGTATCTTTACCTAAACAGTAGTAATTTAGTAATGCAACATGAACACGCCGCTTCTAGAGACGCAAGATGTAATACCACTATTCAGTTTCATACGCTTTTTATACCGGAAAATGTTTAACTATTATAGTACAGTATATTATGAATTTCTACGCTAATCACAACGGAGTTTATTTTAGATTATATGACTATGAACGGCCGAATAAACAGAAGGCCGATTCATGATAGAATAGGCACCAGTGAATCTGTTATCCTCACTGTAATCTAGAGGTTCATTCACAGCTGTGCCTATTGTAGGGCACTACTGATACGTTAACAGCGTTCAATGGCTAATCAAGATTTTATCCACAATTTTGATTTAGATTAATTTCAGGCAACCTTTGCTAGAAACAACGCAGCGAATCGATTTAAAAAGTTCTCTTCTTAGAAAAAAAATGTTTGTTAATACAGCGCATCCTATAGGTTGGCTTAATGAAAACGTATTCATAGAATTATAGAATTCTTGTGTATCTAAAGGAGGCCAGCAGGTTTAAGAGAGTAATTTATTCAATTTTCGTAGATGGTCTAACGTTTGCAGGAGTGCTTGTTTTTCGTTCAGTACTGACTGCAAAAGTTATGGCGCTACAAAGAATCTAGGGGCAAATATCCTACAACTAAGCTTGAGGGTTCAGCTCCTGCAATGCATTTTATGAAATCTGGATACCAATGTGTGTTCGTAGGAGTTTAAGGGCATTTGATAAAAGAAGGAAAAAGAAAACAAGTATGTAAAACTCGGGCTTGTGATTTGGACAAATAAAAAGATTATAGGCATTTTCTACTGTAATTTGCGATCATCTGTTTGAGCTATGTATACAAGCTTGGTATTTAACACACCTTGAGCTTTTTATGAAGTTTACAACAGTACCGGTATAGCATAGCAAGATTGAGCGGTCCAAAGTCGGCGTAGAAGTTCTCATAAACAAGTTCCTCGTCGACACTGAAGAAGTGGACCGATGCCGTGGAGCGAACCCGGGCCGGGCTGTTGAGCACCGCCAGGTACAGCCCATCTAAAAATGAATCGAATGCACAGCGTTATTAACTTTCGATATCAGTCGTCGGACCCTCGTTGATTCTATCTATACTGTAGCTAAATATAATTTAACTTCTGCTTTTCTTCAGAAAGACATTACATAAATTAACATTAAATAAGCTATGCTATTTATCGGAGCTCGGTTCTTACAGTTTCTATAGGAGACGTCTTTCGAAACCTTTAAAATAACGCATATATTCCTACTGAGGTTATGACTGAAAGTTCCGACCGGCAAACTACTACTAAAGTATAGGGAAAGCTTATCAACCCCTACGTATAATCCCAGATCCCTAGTGTTGTTACTACTATCATCAGATAATCGTTAGGACACAGGTTGACGTTCACCGTTATCGCCTTAATCTTCGTTCACACTGGCCACCAGAAATGGTCAATGGTATAAAGCTGTTACGGACTGGGACCCAGTAAAAGTGTTATCTGAGTGAGTATGTTTCATGACAACACCTGCATTGACACTTAATAGAAATAGATAAGATTTTTGTGTGCTTTCGATCGACAAAAAAAAAACCAACCGCGTCACATGACTCTACTACATAGTAAAACTCAAGCGTCAGTAGAAACGGTCGTAAATACAAACACATTAACACAAGTGAGTTACTTACAACTGATGTCTTTGCTATTTGCCCTGTACTTCAGTTAACGTTCGACTTGTAATGCGAGAAATTTACGTAGTTGTTTTGTAAATTTTGATGTATGTAGAGCCTTCGAAGTATCGGGTATCTATTTATTTAGGTCTAAAAAGGTTGTCCAGAACGCTTAGAGATATCACCATCGACGAGATCTTTCGGATCTTTGTCCAAATAGTGTCATAGTGACCTACATAAACTTCATTGCTTCGTACATTTGTTTCCTACGCTCATATGTGATGATTATATATTTCTATAAACACTGATATTTACATGTAAGATCAAGCACAATATGTGAAGCGTGTTCATGTATTGACGAAATCTTCTCTTCATTTAATTGTCATGGTGACATGATCTCCCGCAACAGCATGACGCCTGTCATCTATGTCGATTTCAGTACCATATTGGCCAATTAAATTCGCGGATCTACGAAGGAAGCTTCAAGTTCTGCTTGAGTTACATCGATCTTTTACAAACAGGCGGCACCTCTTTTTCGTACCGTCATTGAAGTAGCACAGCTGTTATTCGTACAGCTACTGCTCTTAACCAACCAACGCCTCCGCTGGTCCAAAAAGGTCAAAGGAGACAACAACATTTTCTAAAGGAAGACGAAAAATATGTCATTTCTCCAGTCATGTATGTCTGCTATATTGTCATTCGTTAGGTGCCACACCCGACATAACCTTGGCGTCAGGCTTAATATTAAATTCTTCTTACCAGCAGTAGCTGTAAGAGATGAAAAATAAAGCAGAGATAAGACTGAGCTGCGCCACGCCACGCCCGCGCCAGACTACTGGTAGCAACTGGTTTTCGTCGCGGATGATGATTAGGGAACAGAAGTTCGGTGGGGAATATGGCGATATGTCTAAGCGTACACATGTCTATATTGACTTTAGGTTTTTGCGTCTTGGTCTCCTTCATGGGCATTGACGAGCCGGCTGCCTCTACGGAGTAGCAGCTCAGCATTGTGTTCAACGCGAGTAGTCTTTTACTTGATTTTCTTGCCGATCGCTGATCCCATGGATCCTATCAAAGTGCACGTATTGCATACTTTTGAGGATCGACTTCTTGAGGTAAAGGAGGGACTACGCAAAACCCGACCGTTTGGACGAACAGTCCGAACCTCCTGCTTACGAAGGTGTTCATGAGGGCAATGTCTGCCAGATGCCTGGATGGCAGACGTGCAAGTACCGTAGAGTCATTGAACTAGGGAGGTGGATATAGGACGAGAGAATTGGCCGGCTATAAGGCTCTTTCTGGCTTAGTACATTTCCCTGAGCCTTGCGGAAAACCGCTGAATAGAGCAAGACGCACTTTATGATCACTGACGATTCTGCCGAGAACAGTAGGCCTGCGATATCTGGCGCGTCTAGGTTGGCTGCGCGATCCTCCAGCCAGAAGCCGGATCAGGAAAAAGCCACGGCTTACAACAACGGTTGCACTCGTTCTCTGCAGCCCTCTTCTAGCAGGTCTTCTCTCGGGATAATTCGACGCCCTCCTCTGACGGTGCCAAAAAAAACTACGCCAATCCCTCCAGTATCTGGCATGAAACAGCGGCTTCCGACACAACCCACTCGTAGCCATCAATAGAAGGCCAGCAAACACTGGAACAAGGAAACTAACACTCTTGGCTGTCTCGCCGAACGCGCACTTCTGCAAGTAGTCATTCGCACTCGTAAGCTGGAAAGGCTTCAAGGAAAGGATAGATAGATGTCTACGACGTGTTTGAAACAGCAGCTCAATGGCCAACAATTAACTGAGATGATTTTCGAAGACTCTCAAGTAAGCAAAGGATGTTGGCTGTACAAAGTGTCTCTATGGAATATCCGTTTACATGGAAATCGACTCAACTGAAATCAATTAACCCGAAGTAATTAATAATGTTAATAATAATAACAACATAGAGTAAAAAATATCTGATGATCGCGCAAACGCCAATCGTTCTATTCTCATTAAAAACAGCCTAATTACGCGTCCGTTTCGATAAAACTTAACTAGAACAAAAAGCTTTGAGCTTTGAAGCTAGCGCTTGCCTTCGCAGGCTAAGAGGATATATTTCAGAATCAACCAGTCGCTTATTGTCAGTATACTGTCCTAACGAAGATTGTAACATATGAAGTCAAATCAGCTTCCGATGCGTAAAATCGTGGCTGCACGATTATAGTGCATTGAAGTGTAACGTTTTTCCCTCTAGTGTCTTTCTTTCTTGCCAATAGTCCGGCTGAAATAACCGGTGCGAGACCATTGACAACTTCCGTTGCACGTCGACAACGTAATATCTAACAAAGCATTACGAAGAGAAATAAAGCTAGCCTCTGCCATCATCTAGTCGACTACCTATGCTCACATGCGTGTTATCTGTATCGAATTGATTAGTAGCCTTGATGCGAACGTTGCTCAATACGTAGAGGCAGACGAGCTCCTATAAATATTTAAATCCAATGCTTATCTGTGAGGTAGTCAAATACGGATTATCAAGGTCAAGGTATCGACGGCATATATGTGTAGCCCTGGCGGTTCCTTTTTACCAGGGAATGTTTAATTGAAATGTACGTGCTACTTGAAGGTAACGTAATAAGTACTAATTATATCAATAGCTGTATTATTAATATTGACAAAAGAGCAAAGCCGTAGATAGGAGAACATATTTAACACCAAAGTAACTCCAATGTAACGCTTTACTTACTACTTTGTTAGTGGTATTTTTAGTAGCTATGAGCCGAAAATGTACGCCGTATAAATCATTCAAATTCTAGCCAATACAAGGAAAGATCGTTTGAATAGACCGTCGACAAGCTCACTCAAACTCATGTTATTGGTGTATAGAGGTGCTAGTTTCTTTATTTAGTACGACAATATCGATACTTAAGTAACCAGTTAGTGGCGTCTAAATATACGTAAAATCCGTGAAGTATTTGGGGAGCGCTTACGCGTCAAAGCGTAACTAATAACTTGTCTCGTCAATCGATTTCTTAGCGCATAAAGCTTTTGCTAGCATTATTGAGCATCGTCTCGGCTTGATGCCCTTCGCATAGAACCTGTTGGCGCCAAGGCGCCAACAGGTGTTGGAGCGTTAGTTTGAACTTCATTAAATCTTCTTTTATTGTATTTTACATGGCATCTGGGTCATGAAATTCGCATTTTCACGGAAAAACCGGTTTGTAACAAACCGTACATTTTGGGCTGACAGTCCATGACCCAACAGCACGCAGTAATCATGTAACTAATGAAACCGCATACGGAGAACGTCTTGTTCCAAATATAAACGCATAGGCTTCAGGCGAAAAGTAGCGTTGTTTTTCCCTCTTATATAGACTCTACAAGATTAGTTTCTGGCTTATTGCTTTATTACTTTCATAGTATCATTTCATCAGCAAAACACTTAGCATTATCTATCTTTATTTATATAATGTTACGAACGTCTATTTACGAACAACACAAAAACTCAGGAAATCGCATGAAATATCCATGAAAGAAGCCAATTAATTAATACTACAAACTAATGATTGCTGAACTTTAGTAGCTTATGAGGCAGTGAGGCGTACACTGTGCTTACAGGTTACGTTTTCGGATTATTACAAAACATAATTACCCCGAATATTTTTTTTAATAACTTTCTTGGTGATAAAATGAACTTCTTGCAACTGTATGTTCTTGCCTCATGCAGCTCAGCATAGCTGTTTTCTGTTGTTCTCGTCATTTGTAACAACTGACCTTTACCCTCCGAGTTTTCTCGTAAAGAAGCGTAATGATGGACCGCAGCCAAGAGTGTCTCGGCTATTGTAGTCGTTCGTTATCCTACTAGCTTAAAATATTGGCCGTCACTAATACGCTATAAGGGGCAGTACCTTCTTTATCTATATGTACATGAACTCCGCCCACTCATACATCTGTCCACACCTACGAAGAAAGTAAGTGACCCAGTAAACCTTATGATGGTGCAAAAGCAATGGTTTTTGCAGGTGCACTTTTTTTGAGCGTTATAATACGGCCTCGTCTATTGGTTACGGTAAATTACGAGTATGTGCCAATATTATAGCTAACTTGTAATGTGATGGGATTTGATTCCATAGATATCTGTTCATTCATCACTTTACGTTTTTAGGATATTCTTTATACGGCGACTGTCGCGGTGTACTCTGGTTTTTGTGTTTTGACCTGAACCTTCACCCAGTGGTGTGGTTACGTGTCGCGAAATATGCTTATTATGCTTTAACTAAGAATTATTTCGTCTCATATATAATGTACGTCCATAGTAAATAGCTAACCTCTCTTACTTGCCACACTTTAAAGGATGCCAAGGAGGAGGTCAAACCCCTTACCTAACCTAGGC